TTTAAAATTTTTTTTTTTTGTAATACGCTACCAATCTACTACTCTTTATTTCAAAACTTTGTTCTTTAGGAGAAGTAATGAAGCGTTCATCTGACGTCAAGTAAAGATTGAAAAAAAAAAAAACGAAAAAAATTCATTTCAGATACTACGAAGTCCGAGTAAAAAAAGTGGGTTTTTCCTGTTAATAGCAACTAATCAAAAATCAAAGCATTTTGAAACAGCGATAAAAAAACAAAAGTAGCATGCTGTGAAAGAAAAATCTAGAGTTTGCTGCTCAGTAATCCGTGTGATTAACAAGGTAATTCGATATGGTCGTATCAGGCTTTCAAAACAGGAGCTATCGACAACAGAAGAAATTTTGAGAACGTCGTTTTAAATCATCATTTTACTGATAATAGTTCGACTCATACTGCTTAGGAACAGATGTTCATAGCTCTATTGTTATTATATTTGAGTCCTTCCCCAACTTCCTAAAAACAAACAGATTATTCTAAATGCAAGCCGTTTAAAAATTTATTCTCTATTTAAAAGTACAAAAATTTTAAAATGCATTAAATTCTTCTTACTGCTCTGTTTAGAGAATCGGCTTCTTCTATTTGGACTACGTAAAACAAGAATTTTGGAGGAAGGCAAGAAGCCAACGGAATGCGTTCTGAGTGGCAACGCGAAAAGCATTAAATGAGTTTATTCTGCCTTATCAGATAAAGTAGTCAAGGAAAGAAATGCTTAAATAAATTTTATATTCAAAAATTATACGAAACTTCCAACTTTCAAAAGTTTAATGTGAAAATTTTTTATTACTGAACGCATATGCCATACGATACCATAAAAACTTGAATAAACGCCGCAGTAGAACACTTTTTGAAGGATTTTTGATTCTCATTTTTAGAAAGGCGAATTATTTGAACAGTCAGTTTTATAGTTCTTAAATGATTTGTCAACACAGATTGTATTTGCAAGTGACTTGTTCAGATGATTTCTTATCATAACTGTTTATAAAGCTCAACAAGCGTTGTTTGTTGGCTGCGCGTTTGCCACAAAAAGCTTTAAGTTTCAGAAGTGCCATTATTCTACTGCGAACGTAATTTTTGATAAGTTTTACTAAATAGATGGTTCTCTGAACGCTGCTTAAAAAGTTGAAGCATCACAAAAGCGCCTTTACATAAACGGCAACGGCGTACCAGAATGGGCAAAATGATCGTAGGTTTCTTTCAATGATTAGTAAACATATACGTTTGCTTGTACAACATTCGGGTGGAAACCGCTTAAAAGAGAATTTAAAAGTTATTGAATTTTATCAAGCCGGTTTGTTGAAGCTTTTTTTTTTGGTGTGCAATATATTCTTCAAAACCGCAAACACCCGAAATTGGTAGCGGAAGCAGAACCGACATAAAATTTCACTAAACCACTGTTAACATATGTGTCATCGCGCTGTCGTCAATTGTTTTTTAGGGTACAGATTTCTACGTTCTCGAAGTTGTTTAATTTTTTATCATAGATGTTTCACGAAATAAGAGTATTTAGAAGGAAAAAAATGTGGTAAACTGACTATGTTAACACCTATTTCTGATAATGCGGTCCTTCAAAAGTGTTTAGTAGCTTTGAAAATTATAGCCGAAAATGTATAGTTTTCAGGCAGGGACCTGGTAGTTCTTCTCATTTCTACGCCTTTTTACTATGTTACAAACGTATTTTTCAAGATACACTTTGGCACTGTGCCAACGTGAAATCAACTGTCAGTTAAGTAAAAATTTGAGAATTGTATACAAGAAGATAATGTAGCGCTTGATTCGACGCAAATATGCAGTGCTAAATAACATCATCTTTAGCTTCATTTCTTATTTGACTCTAGAATGTAGATTTCTACAGTAGCAACTGTTAGCTATAAATTTACAAAGTGTTAGCAAAAATTTGGCCTTCCCATGTATTGTATATTCTCTTATCAAACTTCAAAGCGAAGATTTTGAAAAACTGGTGCTCTTGTTGCAAACCTTTCAATCTCATTCAAACCAAGTAGACTTATTAATTTTAAACTTTACTTATTAATTTATCGCATTTACTTTTGAAAGAAGATCTGCTTATCTGGATTTATTCCAAAATATAGCAATTATAAGTTTCAAAAAAAATTCAAACAAGTTTTACAGCAAAGAACGTTGATTCAAAGCTTTTAACAGCTCTAAAGAACTAAATATTTGTTACAGCCTCATGACACTAAAAAATTAACTTAATGTCAAAAAATAAAAAAATTTCCAAGTTGCTCTCAAATCTTTTCACAAAATTTTTGTGGCAGAACCGAGTTCAGAACGCATCGCTTTTGCCTTGGGCAAAAAACTTTTTAGGACATCGTCCATGACTTTAAGGAAAATTTTGGCTGAAAAAGACTATGAAAACTTATCTACTCGCTGTCATCAACTGTCTTCGTCCATCAAAATATTGTTAAAAGATTATAAACAGTTGTAGGATTAAATGCTTGCAAGTTTTCGAAACTTTTTTTAATTGAAAAAATCAAGATCTAACTAAAGAACTCAAATTCGTTCAAAAATTTTTGCATTTTCTCTTTTACAGTCTTCTTTTTCAACTATCAAGCAAGAAACGCCACTGCACTTCCGGAAAAAATTCTTCAATGCTACGGGATAAATGACTTACCAAATTATGATGGTAAATTACTGTATTAACAGTCCTCTTCTGCTATCTTCTGCAGTCGATGCAAAGTGAAAATCACTTTAACCTTTTTCTGCACTATTTTTATGTACACTCACAAGCTATATAAAGTCAAATTTGAAAATTATGTACAAATACCTGATTCAACCGCGATTTCTTTGTTAGACAAACTTTAAAACTCAGTTTTTGCTAGGAAACTGACCACTTCATTCGTGAATTTGATGAAAAGTACTGTCATGCGTAGAAACTCCAAAATTCACAAAGCCCTTCTACCTTTCATTACAGCAAAAACTCTAAGTTTTAAAATTTAGAACGTAGAACTCAAAAGTAGTCGAAAGAAAATTTATTAAAACCAAAAACTTATTTTGAAAAACCTATTTGAACTGGGCCAGCAACTAAGCGAATTACATGCTTCTTTTCTAGAGATTTCAGCCTGACTTTTTTGTCATTTCCCTTTACGTGTTAGATGCAACTGTTCGCTGTGTTGATCTTATTTCTCATTTGTTGTTCTGCTTATATTATAAATTCTCTTGCTTTTTTTTTTTTTTTTTGCAGAATAGCTGAATAATTAAACAGCTTTTCCTAATACTCTATATGTCGTTATCCTTCTCCACTACCATTTTTTTTTGCAAAATCTAAAGTCAAAAAAAAAAAAAAAA